ATTAATATCATTGGATCTTGGGTGTTGAGTTTAACTCCGCCAAAATAGATGAATGATTTTAATGATAGTTTGATTAAATTTCTTAGTTCAAATATTTATTCTCCCTCTTTATCTCATCCCCTTCTAACTTGTGCTACATGTTGTTAGAGAATGATCTATATATCATTTCTTCAAACATATGGTACATAGATTGCTATTGAACGGCCTTAAAATAGGTGCGACTTCTACATAAGTCCACTCACAATTGCTTAACATAGCGTTAAATTATGTCCCGATTCGAGAAATGATCATTCGTGGCTCAAACCTATGTTTGCAAGCCCAAGTATGTTTAATTTGAAACCTTTGATCCAATAAACTCGAGGTTCATTATTAGGAGGATTTGGTCTTATCAATCTTCTAATGAACATTCATAAACTTTGGTCTAAGTGAATCATTTAAACATTGTTGATCATATATTGTCGCCTCGAGAATTTGAGATGAATGATATACTTGACAAAAAGAAAATGAAACTTGTTGTTGAGAAGTTTTGATTTTATCAATATTCTAATGAGTTTTTAAATACAAGTTTCAAGATGGTCATTCAGCTAACCTCTAATTCCTAACTCATTAACAATTAACTTTTACTTTGTGCTTTTATTTTATGCTTTTACTTTATGCCTTTACTTTTATGTACCATTTATTTTGGCATTTACATTTCATGTCATTTTTATCCTTGCTCACTTGAATATTTATCTTTATGCCATTTTGATTTTGGCTCACTTGAGCTTTTCATTTTCTTTTTGAAGATACTTAATAACCAACTTGAACAAAAAAAAAAACCTTAAGGTTACTTGGACTATTTGGTTACTATCCTTGGCATTGTGGAGATTGTGGACCTCTCGGACTTAGGATTAGAAGCCTTGACTCTTTGGGACTTTGTGATTCTGCTGTTATTTTGTATGGAGTTCTTGGAGTTTACCCCCGAGACATTGGGTTGATTTTCTTTGTATGCAGGTTATTCTGATTATATGCTTTGTCTGAGATTGGAAATTCATCTGTATACAGCCGTTACTCTGCCCAATTTTTGTGAAGACTTAATGCATTTGAAGCTTGATATTCTAAAGAGGTTTAGTATTTTTGCTTGCTTGGTTTCAATCCAAAGAATAATAATTCTACATTGAATCTTTATGTCAAGTGTTGGCTTCTTGTTGGTTAGACAATTATTTTCCTTAACTTTTACCTTATTGCTTTAGGATAGTCCCTTCATCTTCTCCCATCTTCTTTAATTTCAAAAATATTCTCCCACCTTTTCAAAACTCTTCTTGTTTTCTAACTCGAACTGCTTTTATAATAAACTTGGACTTAGGTCCATGCATTTTAAAAAAATATTTTTCTTAATCAAACTTTAACCAACTTAATCATACTTAGACATTTTTGTGAGAAGACTAAAAGTCAATCAATCTCATTCAAACAATTTTTCCATTTTAGATTTTTTACTTCAAATTTTTTCAAAAGATTAGACTCTTGTCAATCCTTGTAGTGATACGAGCTACTATACTTCTATGATATGTAGTGAAGTGAGGTATTTTCCAATTGGGTGTTAAGCGAGGTTTTGTTGATTTTAAAATCCAAGTTATATTCTCCACTTCGAGATGATGCAAATTCTCCTTTCTCATAATTGTGGGTAGTAAGTATGTTTTCCACTCAGATATGACGATGATGTCTCATCTCTTAAAATTAACCAACACACTTGTGTTTCAAATTTTTAAAAAAGGTGAACTACGAGTACCATGATTCCCTATTACACGGAAGGTGGTACGTAAGCACTAAAGATTTGAAACTGCGGCAGATGCAAAATTGTAAAAAAAATACTTCTTTTCTCACCTCCACCGTCTATTTTTGTATACAACTCTTATAGCCAAAATACACAAATTTTCAAAGTGGTTCCTACGGAGTACCTTAGATGTTTAGGGTGCTAATACCTTCCCTTTTCATAATCAACCCCCATACCTAGATTCTCTTTTTTTTTGGGTTATTCACTTTTTTCTCATTCCTCTGGAAACAATAAAGCACGGTGGAGATTTTTATTTGATTTGTGAGAGTCAAGTCAATCCAATGACTTAGTCTTAACATTTCTACCGCTACAACTATGATATTCAACTTTACATAAATTAAATCATACACTTTCGGTATAATATGAAAATGACATATATAAATGAACAAATTTGGAATACATAATGAATTCAAAATAAAATACAATTGATAATAGTGCTTCTAATACAAATATTATACATTATTGCGTATGTCGGACCTGAGCCCCCTGTTCCTATGTTGCTTCTTGTATTGTAGTGTCGACAATGCATCCTCAAAGATGTCATCTGGAATGTTCCTCGCTTTAGAGCCTTCCAGAAAGACTCCTGTCGATACCGATATGTGTAATATCCATGATACGTCGACATATAGGCAACACATCAATAGCTTGATTTTCCCTAACCTTCTCCTCCTCTAGTATCTCATAGTGAGTTGTTTAGGTGGATCTCTCAGAGTATCTAGTGTCATATAAGAATGGGACACCCTGATATACCATTAAACGTAGTCGTATGCAACAATTCAGTCGTTAGGAAATAGGGTAATTTGTGTCTCATCATGTACCTGATGATTAATAAAATCATCATACATGGCATATATATATCTTTGTGTGCCATAACAAGAGGACAACATCAGAGGGGTCTCTACAAACAAACTACATATAGTCAAGTTGTCGAATGGCGCGCTCAAACTGATGTAGATACACCAGACGTGACCTGCAAGTCAAGCATCTAGAGTAGAAGGCTATATCGTCCAAGGGACGCGTTTGACGATGATCAGTGTATGTCTGAAAGTATATATCCTTTGCTACCAAAGGGTCAAAATACACTCGAAAGGGCTTTGTCGCATGATTCCCTCTTAGCGAGGAGAATGTAGAATCATGTGGCATATTCTCATTGTAGGTCATAACATATGACCAACTGGATATGCGTGAAGTGTTAGAGGATCCAAGCCTAAAAATTGTACATATGAATTATTAGTAATGTCATAGAAAAAGTGTTATGAAAGTGATACACAAACACTAAAAGAACCAGAAATACTAGCGTCAACAATTTGATGTTGCATGTCATCTGTTTGGTTTTTTATATATAACTTTCAACTAACTTGGAGTACAGGTAGGCCAAACAAACGGCTTCTCAGTTGTACTTATGGATCTGTTCCAAGTCAGCGAACTATCTCATGTAAACAACATACACATAAGTGGCACTGTCCACAAAAATGGACGTGTCAATCAAGTACAACAGGTATGCTCTCAATGCGTATGCAATATGCTGCATAAACTGCTCATTATCACTGGTAGTCTACTTATCCGCATGCAACTATTGTGTATACAGTCTCTCCATGAATCAAAACCTAGCATGACACCCTCAGGTGACTTATATCTCCTGCAGGGAATCCCTTGGGTCAACTCCCAAATTGTCCATTATCATCTCCACTGTATCATCTCTAATAATTCTTCAATGGTCTAACAGTTTCCCTCTTATCGGAAGATGCAACAGGCATGAGACATCGTCCAGTGTGATTGATATCTCACCATGTGGAAGATGAAAAGGTGGTGTCTCTGAGTGTCATCTCCTTACAAATGTGGACAACATACCATGGTTAACTATAGCATAATTGATCATGCACAAGTCTCTCAACTCATATAGTTGTATCTCATTCTGAAACCACCGCTCAGCAGGTTGAGGCAGACCATTAATCTTTCAGCCATGGTTGATTCATTTTAAAGCAACATCATCCTGCAAAAAAAAATCATCATTAGAAACTTTGAATATTTATAACAAACATGTTTTTCAAATAGTGAATATAATTGAATTTTACCTCTCCGTCTCAAACATGTCTAGAAGCATGGTTTGGGCATAGAGGCAGCGGCGACAAGTCGAACGGGCCTCCTCCGAACCCCTCGGGTGCATGCGGTGCCTTGAATGCTTGAGTAGGTGACACTTGTCTCCTATGAGAAAACGAAGACGAAGATGCATGAGCCCTAAAAGTTGACGTCTTCACATCAACAGGTCTAGAACCGATAGATGCATGCGATGATTGGGCTTTTTCCCTCTAAACTAGTGCATGATGTGCAACTCTATTGTGCCTCAATTTATCTTGCTTATCAAGCATAATGCTTATAATTAAATCACACAAGCACTATACAAATGAAACACAATGAAGTGAAGCAAAACAATGCAGACAAATAAAATTCAAAAATACATCTCCAAGTTCTAGAAATCAAAACGTTAAAATAATTCATAGATGCATCTTCGTAATGTTCTGCAATTCAAAATCACAAAAATGACAGAAATGCAATCTATTCCAAAATCCAAAATAATGCATTGAATATTTAAACCACCTATCATACACATCGCTCATTTAAATAACATATTTAAACTATCTATTACATAACTTAATTCTCAATTTCTACAGATATATATAGAAATAAATAAAAAAGTATAGAAAAAACAAATTTACCAAATATGAGTTTACTTTGATGTTGAATGAGTTCTTTGATCGATTGGATGTTGATGGTAGAGAATGCGTTTGAGTTGGGAAGTTTTAAGAGTTTTGAGAGTTCTTTCTTTCTCCTTTTTAATAAGATTCTGTTTGAATTTTAAAGTGCATATTCTTATATAAATATTAAATCGATCTCTCTTTTAATAAATTTAATACGCAAACTAACTTTCTTAATTTCCGTAATTTTCTCTAAATGTTCTTATATTGAAGGACTAATGAAATATGTAATTCCCCCGACACCTATGTTTCTCACCTTCACACATTTATGGTAAAAGGTGATCTTGGTCTACAATGATGCAACAACAGTGATATTTAAGCTTAACAACCTTACATTACAACTAATGAAATGGGGTACATTAACTTCAATTAAAGCGCAAGTCATATTATTTACAACATGATTTTCCTATTCTATACTGGAATGGAGGATTTCATTCTTCTGGCATTGCATTCATTGCAAGGCCTTTTATTACATGTCGGCATTGAAACCTGCGATGTAGGTGTAAGTCATTTCAGAGTCAACAATGCTGAATGATATATAGGTCATACAGTGAAGTAAAAAAGACTAGAGACCTTGTAATGGATGAAAATATAAATGATAAATGTGAAAAGGAATGCTATTTAGAAAGGTCAGAAATGTTAAACAGCAAGGCAAATTTATTGTACCCTGCCAAATTTATCTGCTCTTAGACAAAAACCTGACTAGACATATTGTAAATAGAAAGAAAAAATCGTAACAAATGATGACTAATAATAATATAATGTGCCAAATCAGAAATAAACTAACGGATTTTACATTAACATGTTTTCTGTAATTTTTCACCTCCACCAATACGTTGAATAGTTATAACTTATAATCAAGCAATTTGGTAAGCAACATGCAAAAGGCTATTCATCATCTAAACAAAAATGTGTCATCATCAAATAAATATTCATATCATAATAAAGTTACCAGATCAAATCTTCTGAAGTAGAAGTAGCCACTTCTTGATCCTGGTTTCGGAACTTAAACAGCAGCCTGAGAGGCACAATCTGTTGCAAAAATGCAGATTAGCTGCTGGGAATACATGCAACAATCCCCTCCAAAAAAGTGTTACATAGAAACAGCATAAGAGCATATTACTAGGTATTGGAAATTTCAATCTAATAAAATAAAATTGTTTTATGTTTCCACATTTTAAGTCAAACAACATTTATCTTAACCAATTTCAAAAGGTTTTGAACCAAACTTGATTTCATTTTCATGTTTCAACGGACTCATTCTCTTGTAGGTTTTGGATATAATTGGTTCCATTTTTCACCATATTAACTAGGTTTTGGATATGTCAAACACCCCCTAAGAAATACTGAAAGATTGCTTATGTTATTTTCTTAAATAAACTTCTGAAAAACTAAACCTTACTTAGAGGACGAGATTAAAACAATGTGTTTCAGTTCCAAAGGACAACAAGTTGATTGGAACAACGTAACAATCAATCAAAGTCATAGCTTATAAGAAATTGAAGTGAGGTAGCCTGGTTTACTGATGAATCATTCCCAAAGAATGATCATATCGAATTGCAAATTGCCACGAGTTTCATCAAAGTTCATAACAGATTATATATATTATATATACAAAATCACTTTCTCATATAAGCAAAAAAAAAGAAAGCAATATCTGAATTGATAAAGTGATGTACCAAAAAAACAGCAAGCATAGATATCATTAGCTATCTCCTTTACCAAATAAAGAAATCATCAGCATCGCTCACTATAAAGGCAACACCAACAAATATAGCATATGATGCTCGATGCAAACAGAAATCATCATATACTTCCAACTTAAAAAAGGACAATCACATATTAAATATGTCCTAAATATCTAGCTTACCTTTCTGTTGTACTTAAAATCACGTTTGGGCAGAAAATGCAAGGGTTGGTTGAAAGAAGAAGGGGCTTTAATCAATACAAACAATTTGTTTGGACCTATACAAAGCAGGTAAAATATAACCCTTCTGTCAATATAGAATAAAGAAAAACAATAAATGAGATAACAGGAAGAAAATTCTTTAACACTAATAGTAAGCATTCAAATTAGTATTTCAAAGATACACACCGGACATCAAGACAGTCCTACAAGGATTTTGGACATCAATTTGACCCCGCGATGTTTGAACCAATACCAATTCAGACACTCAACATGCATTCAAACACCAATTTGGTCCTGAAATTCATGCTTACTTACACTACAAAATACCAAACCAATGTCCAAAATCTTCAAAGGACCAACTCAATCAATGTCTCGTGTATAGTTGAAAAACCAACTGGAGTATTCATTTTTCAAAATGAATGTTTATCAACCAGTAAAGTCAATAACTACCAGGATAAGTAACAGACCCAGCATCCTTTGATATCAATGTTCGAATTGCCTGTTAAAGAATCACAAAAACAAGATCTCAGACAAAGCATATTGCATTTCAAATTCTCAATCCAAAAGACCTAAACACAAAAAAAGAAAGAAATTAGCTAATCAAAGAACCTTTCTGCAAAGAGCCTCTGCAGCTTTGCTCCTAGCAAAATCCTCCCCGGTATTGGAAACATCAACTCGATGTGGAAACTCCAACACATAAACATTCTGAGGCCTAAGGGAGCTACCTCCAAGAGCCAAAATAACCCCATCTATGGAATGACACTCATTGATAATCACTTTAAGCGCAATTTGTAAATTCGAAAGAGAACTCATCAACTTATCCAATCTCTTTATCCCTACTTTGATTTCCCTCATTCTACTCACATGCTTTCTCCTAACCAATGCCTTCACTTCACTTTCCTTATCCATCTCCTAACATCAAAAAATTCAATTCAGATTCCAAGCAAATTATAAACATAATCAGATCATAAATAATCGTTGGATTCAAACGATTTCCAACACTCATTTAGTATAATTTTGCTAAATTGCGGCAATAGAACCGCTATATAAATCTTTCGTATCGGAATTTGAACAAACATCTAGTTTCTCCGATCGACAGTTAACAACGCCGATAAAAACAATGAAATGAAGTGAGTTACCAGTTGTTTATACTCGGAATGCATTGAATCGAACTCAACGCTCATATCCTGAACAGTGCTGCATGAATAAAATGCATCGAATGATGAAAATTGAAAACAAAACGAAGAGAAAAAAGTAAAATCGAAAAGGAGAGAGTTTAGAAATTACGAGGGAATTTGCTGGTGCATGTAAAGAACGAACCCTACGACGTCGTTGATTGTGTGAAAAATTGCGGAGGAATCCATGGTGTCTGATGCGGTGTAAATCTCGGCGGGATCCATCTCCGGCAAAGAGGTTCCCATCTTGGACACTGCTCATTGGCCGTTGGTCAATTCAAATGTCTAATTGGAAGAAAAGACCCGCCAATTATTGGGCTTGGCAACTATCTCGTATGGGAGTTTTTTAATTGGCACCCTAACTTATAACTAGCACCCTTAAAAAGAAGAAAAAAGAGGTATGACTTTGTATCAAATTCTCTTAACATATATATATATATATATATATATATATATATATATATATATATATATATATATATATATATATATATATATATATATATATATATATATATATATATATATATATATATATATATATATATATATATATATATTCTCAAGTTTTTGGATCATGTCAATCGGTTGCTATTTAACAACAATCGATTGTTTTAAAAATATTTTGAAAAATCATTTTTAAAATCATTTTTAAAGAATAACAATCGGTTGTCATATGTCTTCAACTGATTGTTGCTGGAACCTATCTTAAAAATGTATTATTTTTTTAATTTATAATAATACATTTGACATAAAGGTTGTTATCGAAGCATAACGTATTTTATTATTTTCTTTATAAGACAATCCATTGTCAAATTTTACAATTTATTGTCACTAATTCATATTTCAATTTTTTTTAACTATGACAATCTATTGTCATAAAACTACAATCAATTATCACAAATACGTATTTTAAATAATTTTATTTTTTAAACTATGACAATCCATTGTCATAAAACTACAATTCATTGTCACTGCTTTATTTCAAAAAGATTATTTACGTTATATTAGTACAATCGGTTGCTAGCTTGTTCAATCAGTTGTACTTGACTTATTTCATAAAATTACATTGTTTGAAAGCATCATTTCATGATATCTCTTGCATTTATCTTTTTCATTCAACGTGTAATACTTTTTAGAAATTATTTCAACCATTGCCAGATTTTCTAAATGGTTGCATGCACACTATAAATTAAATTCAAACTTTCATTTTGAAGTTCCCTCTTTCAAAATTATCAAAAACTCTGCATATTTTTCTAAACAGAATTTTTATCAAGTGATACTTTTGAATTATATTTTTCATAACATATTCATAAAGTATCCTGAGCACTTAAGAGAGTATTGTGTTATTAAGTTTCATATTGAAAGAGAAAAAGTCCTTCATAAGATTTGTATACTACAAACTTACTTATTTAAAATCACTTGTCACATCTTATTTTTCCAGGATTATTGGAATTAAGATTGTGTGAAGTGTATTCCTTGTTGTTCAGGATTGTTGAAAACAAGAGAGTGGAAAACAAAGGATTGTTTTCTTTTTCTAATTATTTGGTTTGTATACCTTGTTGTCCAAGATTATTGAAAGCAAGAGCGTTGATTTTGAAAGGATAGTTCTCATTTCAACTTGGTTGGCTTAAGTTGTTGTTTCCTTGGTTATTAGTTAGAGTCTTGTATAGAAAGGATAAGTGTGTCTTGTCTAGAGATCTAACAATAATAAAATCTCTTTCGTGTTGAAAGGGGACTAGATGTAGCTTCAGATTATGAAGGGAAATAAGAACAACTTGTGTCTAAAAATCAGAATTTTAAAGTACCTAATTCACCCCCTCTTAGGCGCACTTTAAAACTTACAATTGGTATCAGAGCAGGTTATAGGTAACCTATTTCTACAGATTCAGAGTGGCTTCCGTAAATGAAAATCGAAAGATAGTAGTAATAACAAGTCTCAATTATTTTGTGGTGAATACTTTGATTTTTCGAAAATTTGTATGAAGGCATATCTAGAATCTCAAAGAAAAGAAGTATGGAAAGAGATTGTAAATGGTCCCTTCACTACTACAAAAAAACACATCTAACATCGGACGTAAAATGTGTTTGATGTCAGACGCGGAATCGACGTAAATAAGGGCGTCATTAAAGGTTATCACTTATCCCCTCAGGTACTAAAACATCGAGGGATTACGTTAACTGCACGTGAGTTTGATTCTCATCCTCGGCATTTTTATTATTTTCATTACTTGATGGCGTGCCAATTATTAACACTCGGTCTTTTGATGAATCGAGGTAATATATCAATATTATTACTTCGGTTTATTTGGGAAGTCTAGGGGTTATACAATTTTTTTTACTCTCGTCTGCACCTGAACTACAAAATACAGAATACAGAACTAATGCAAATCCAAAATGGCGCACCCATTCATCAATTTGAAACAGAAATATTCATTGATTACACCATATGCAAACCCAAATTGGCACACACTTTATAATTTTACATCAAAACTAAAACAAATGATTAAGAAACAAAAGCAATAAGCCATTTACTTACTAGTTTTTCTATATGTCCTCTTCATGATCATGACGAATACCATACATATCATCTAAGTCATTTTCTTCAGACGATTAACTTACACGTGTTGCTAAACAAGGAGTCTCATGGTTAAAATCTTGATTTTCATTAGTACAATCATGAAGATATTTTCCTTGAAGAAAAATTGATCATCTAGTGTTAGATGGATCAGTGACATAAAAAACTTGTTTGGCTTGGTTTTCCATGATGAATGATTCGTTCTTGTAAGTTGCATTTTGAAGATCAACCCTTGTGAATCCTAAGTCATCGGTTTCTACTCCAACTTTACTGTCAATCCACCAGCACTTAAATAAAGGCACTTTAAAAGAAACATAGTCAATCTCTAAAATCTCCTCAATGATCCTAAAGAACGCTCTAAATGCTAGTACTGGATTGTTATCTTTGGAACTGGAAAAGAACATGGATTCGTCCTCAACCATAACACCATTATTTTATATGATACTACGATCATCCTTTGATTTTGTACAGAACAAATATTTTCTGATGTCGTATGAACTCCAAGTTATTACATTAAACTTAGGAAAACGTGACAACCATTTGCAATTATCCTATGCACCACTCTCATTAGAAATACTTTCATTAAACCAATCTATGAAAGTTCTGTTATGCTCCGTCAACAACCATTTTTCATTCATCCGGGGGTATTTTTCCTTTATAAGAGCTTTGTGCATGGTCAAGTAAGGATCAACTTCACTAAGGTTATTCAATATATACAAATATGCTTGAAAAAAAACACTTATCGGTTAAATGTCTTAACATTTCAACCTTGAATACCTCTACCATCATAAAATCCATCATGACGAGACTCGAGAACTCCTATAAAGTTCACATCTAACAAATAGTTTGTACAAAACTCAATAGCTTCTTTTATGATGTACCTTTCTACGACCAAAGCTTCTGGACGGTGATGATTCTTTGTATACCTTTAAAAATCTTCATGTAACGCTCTATCGGATACATCCACCACAAATAAACTGTTCCACAAATTCTAATCTCCCTTACTAGATGAAAAACTAAGTGAACCATAATGTCAAAGAATGATGGAGGGAAAGACATCTCTAACTGGCACAAGATAATTACAGTTTCGTGTTCCAATTCATCTAAATTTCCAGGATCTATAACTTTACTATATATAGCATTGAAGAATAAGCACAATCTGGATATAGTTACCCTTATATTTCTTGGTAAGATGCCATGGATAGCCATTGATAGAAGTTGTTGCATCAAGACATGACAATAATGAGATTTTAAGCCAATTAATTTTTTATCGTTCTCTGACACAAGTTTCTTCACATTTTATGAGTACCATTGGGAAAACTTTGATACCCTTCAAATAATCACAAAAACATTTTTTTTATTTTTTAGACATAGTGTGACATGTTGGGGGGAAATAGGTTCTATTTCCTACTTCTTTTGGAGCTAATTCTTGTCGTATACCCATCACAACCATATCTTCACGGGATTTCTTGGTATATTTTGTATTGTCTTTAATGTTGAGAAGTGTTCCAATCAAACTATCACATACATTTTTCTCCATGTGCATCACATCAAGATAATGTCTTACATCAAGACTGGACCAGTATGGAAGATCGAAGAACACCGACCTCTTTTTCCAAGAAATTTTCTCCACTAGATTTTTTTGTTTCTTTCTAAAGAAAACTTTAATGTGTTGTTTTTTTCTATAAACTTCCTTCCCGGTTAAGGGTTTTAGAGAGATGTGAAACTCGTGCTCTCCATTTAAAGCCTTGTGCAATCTACGATACGGGTGATTAGCTCTTAGAAATCTTTGATGCCCCAGATAAACTGTCTTTTTTTCCTTTTGGTAATTGGTAGTGAAATATATTACCTTCACATATAGGACACACTTTATGACTCTTGACGTTGTACCCAGATAAATTATTGTATACAGGAAAGTCATTGATTGTGCAAAATAACATGGCACATAAATTAAAGTTATTACATGTATAAGCATCATCAGCATCAACACCTTCCTCACACAAAAGTCTTAAATCTTCAATCAATGGCAATAAATAAACATCTATGTCGTTCCCTAGTTGTTTCAGGCCTGAAATCATCATTGATAGCATCATATACTTACGCTTCATGCACAACCATAGAGATAGGTTGTAAATTAAGATAAGAACAGGTCGTGACATATGGTTAGTACTCATATTACCAAAAGAGTTCATTCCATCGGTGGCAAGTCTAAGCCTAAGGTTTCTCGGTTCAACAACAACAACAACAATAAAACAATGTGCGGAGAACAACAAGAACATACCAAGGTAGAATAAGTGTGCTTTCGTTGTCTAAGCTCCTTGAAGAAGAAGTGTTATTTTATTGACTAAGCTCATTGGAGAAGAAGTATTCTTTTGTTGGTTGGATAAGTAGTGTTCTTTCATTAGGGATCAAAAAATGAATTAAGGGAATCAAACATATATAAAAACTTTATCTCGGCTAAATTAAAAAACCAAGGTAGAATAGTCGACGTAAAATATATAAAAAAGGCGCCTTTTTGTTTGCCAAAGGAATAAAAAATTTGGGAGTTTTTCTCTCGGTTTTGGAAACAACTGAGGTAACATATTCAAAATAAAATCTTTAAATCATAATGGTGCCTTTTTGGTTCCATATAAAGCACTAAATAGAAGTAATTGGGAATCAAACCTCA